CACAGGGTCGCCAGGAGGGGGCGCCAACTCAACGGCACACAGCACACCGCTCCCTCCTTTCTTAGGAAGGAAATTCTCAATATTTAGCCGGTATAGGTCCCAAGGGGTGGGGGTAGAAATAGGAAAACAGGATTTTAGAAACCTTATAATAAAGATCTATATCTGCCAGGCCGGTGTGGCTCAGTGGTTGAGCTTCGGCCTATGAACCAGGAGGTCATGGTTCCATTCCTGGGCAGGGCACATGCCCAGGTTGTGCGCTCCGTCCCAGGGCGGGGCATGTAGGAGGCAGCCGATCCATGATTCTCTCTCATCATTGATGTTTCTATCTCTCTCTCCCTCTCCCTTCCCCTCTGAAATCAATAAAAAAATATATATATTTTTTTTAAAAGATCTACATCTAATTTAAACTTCGCTTCTAGTCAGTCCATAGGAAAGAGCCACTCAGCTGCCGCAGGAGCCGTGTACATAGAGAGAAACAAGCGTGGACAGAACCCGGTCCGGGGCCTGGAAACCCTTCCCGCCCAGCGAGCTGACCCACGGACGAGATGCCGTGTAATCACCATAAACCTGCAGAGACAGCAACGCTCCCACACACGCTGATGACAGCGTCTGACTCGGTTCCAGCGATGACCCAGGCACTGAAGGGTGATGTAGGAAATTAGTGGACACATGTGAAGCACATAAGAGCCGTGTCTGGGAGATAAAAGCTTTCACTACATGTTGGCTATTATTACTGCTATTATTACCACAATTCACTGTGTTTCCATAAGGGTGGCTTATGTAGGATCAAATATAACACTAGCTGTAGAAACGGTTTTGGTCTTATGCTTAGAAAGTAATATGCCAAGACTGTTGAACCTCAGAGGGAAGGCAGGGGAGGGAGAGGGGGGTGGGGGGTGGGGTGGGACGTGATCAACCAATGAACTTGTGTGCATATATGCATGACCCATGGACACAGACAATGAGGTGGTGAGGGGGGCGGAGCGGGCTGGAAGAGGTTAATGGGGGGAAAAAGAGTATCTATGGCATACTTTCAACAAAAAAGATTAAAAAAAAAAGAAAGTAATAAGTCATATGTTTCACTTGTGGATCTTGTAGTTCTTTTGTGGACAATTCTGGCACTAAGGTGACCTCTTCAAGTTCCTTCCCTTGAAAAAGGCTACGGCCCCCAGGGACTTCTCCCCAGGCTCTCGGCCTCGGGCTACAGGTCCTGAAGCAGTGTGTTTGCATGGCATTATTTTCCATCCTAAACACAGGCTCCCCAGGGTGGAGCCTGGGTCCGCGCACCCTGGCAGGGCCCACAGGCATCCTGGTAACGCACTGCCCGCCACACACGCACACAGACCATTATTCCAATGTTTCCAGATCGTCCAACATAAAGTAATCTTCCCTTATGTCCCCGGAAATACCGAAAAAGCTCTGGAAGTGCCAATGTTTTTCCATCCACATTCTACTTGCCCAAATCTTGTGTTAAATGGCAGGTCTTGATTTTTTTATTTTTTTTAGAAGATGTAATTATAATGGGTCACCCTCTCAATATAACAGACTGTTCATTTGAGTAACAAAAGATTATCACAGGTTTGTACAGCAAGTAGGACTGTTCCACCTAAAACAGGGGTTCTCAACCTGTGGGTCGCGACCCCTTTGGCGGAGAAACGACCCTTTCACAGGGGTAGCCTAAGACCAACGGAAAACACATATATAATTACATATTGTTTTTGTGATTAATCACTATGCTTTCATTATGTCCAATTTGTAACAGTGAAAATACATCCTGCATATCAGATATTTACATGACGATTCATAACAGTAGCAAAATTACAGTTATGAAGTAGCGACGAAAATAATTTTATGGTTGGCGGTCACCACAACATGAGGAACTGTATTAAAGGGTCGCGGCATTAGGAAGGTTGAGAACCACTAACCTAAAAGAACAGGCATCTTCTCCACTTGGGGGGGTGGGGGAAGGCGGGAGG